AGAATAATTGTGTTATCATTATGTGACTCATGCAAGTTGCTAAACATATCAAGGAATAGTTCATAGTCATGGAAGCTGGTAGCTGGTGGAACATAGACGGCAAATATATAAAAGACGGTGTCCTGTGAGACTGGAACTTTTAGGCTTAAAATATCAATAGATGGGATGGTGTTTGCAAAGTGTGAGAGATCTATTTGGGAACAGTTCATAGTATTAGAAGCTGGAAGGCAGCTGACAGTTTTTTCTTGCAATGGTAATACGCTGTGACCACTTTTCTTTTGCGCTGTGACTAGTATTATCCATGTTGATGACGTCGTCACCAATTTTTTGTTGATTAATTAAGAACGAGTAACCCCATTTTCTCGAAAATGTGAAGAATACGCACGTCTTTAAATAATAATGATAAAATAAGAACAATAATGTTCAGAACATTTTGTTCGATTGTGCGTTAATTAATAATTTTAGTCCTGTGTTTTGAGAAAACAAACTCATTCAAATCAAACTATTTTCTGATTGACATTCTTTCGATCTATAAACATAAGCAATTGAGCGTCAGATTGCTATTATCTAATGTTGAAGGACAAGGGTTGTTAGAGATGGATGATTTTAAGTTCAACATGGTGAATTGATGAGTCATCAGAATCTGACAACGGACTGTCAGTCAGTAGCGTAACGTGCACATTTCAAAAGGGGGTGGTTTTTAAATTTATAAAACATAAATTTAAGTGTAGTGGTCAACACGCCACGACGAATGCGGATGAATCTATTAGGCATTAATCTAAAGAGGTGCCACAAGGTGAACTTTTCTACCCATGGCAGGTAGAAAAGTTCAGTATGACAGAGAAACAATGACGGACGCTTCTGAGGGTGCGCCCATTCGAAAATGCTACATATGTTTCTTTGTACTTCAGGAGCGAGAGAACAATTTTTCTTGCTTAAGTACTGTTTTAGTAATTGGAAAGTGACTACCATAATATTTGCTAATTTCTAGTTGGCTGTTGAAAAAAACATCTAGTATGTAGCTCATGTGAAGAATGTACGACTTTGTTAAATTTCATTTGTTTCATTACGTAAAACTAACCCTTATTAATATTATTCTATAAAACTTACTTGCTTTTGCGTTCGTAAATGACAAGTTTCCGTAATGAAAGATAGTGACACCTTTAGTATATTGATTATTATGTCAACAAGACAAACTTGTATTACATTTCACATTTGCTAAATTAATTTAATGAAAACGGGTTGTAGTAAGTTAAAAGAGAATGATATTTAAATTGAACTTATTTACCGACATATGCTCATAAGAACAAAATGTTATAACTGCTTTGCTTTTGAGGCGAGTGACTGCGTTTGGCTTATTGAATTTTCAATAAATTTTCAGAATGTAATATCTCCATTGTTAAATTTTAAATATAACCTGTCCACAGCAAGCGCAGTTTTTTTTGAAAACAGTTTATTATCGTCTTCTTTTTAAAATTGTAATGAAATTATTCCTCACATTCTTTAATAATAAATAGGATCGCAGTTATATACCACTATTGTCAACCTATAAAACTCTATAAATCGTAGAACAAACTTTGACATTTTTAAACACATGTAATGAAAAATTTCACCAAAATAAAAAAAAAAGGTGATACTAAACTGTTTTCAAAAAACTGCACTTGTTAATAAGGAAATTTGCTGACGGGTCTTACATAAAATCTCATAACAATAAGTCTGTTAATAAAGGAGATATTACATTCTGAAAATGTATTGATAACCCCATAAGCGAATCCTCTTAAGAGAGACGAGTGAAATTTCCACCTAATGTTGCCTGCCAAACGTCACGTACTACGGATTTGCATGATAGTCTGTCTCATCGTATTGTTTGTATGAATATAGACGAACAAAACTTTTTACTTCAAATGCGGAAATAAAAGCTTGTGAATGAAATCAAAGCTCTCTCTAAAGAAGTATCCCGGATGAATACAGCATATCATTTATCTTAGAATACAAATGTACCATATATTCCAAAAACACATATTGAAGAATAAGTAGCGTAATGATGAAATAAAAGCTATTTGTGGTCGTATAGTCTGATTCTTGCCTTTTGACACACTAAAATTTGTTTTTCTACTTTGCGTCAATCATATTTTCATTATGAAACGCATAATATGCTTTTCACAATAATGACATTTAATTTTATTATAGCACCCAAAACCAGTAACTTTTTCCTTGATTATGTTGGCAACGTTATTATGCCGGCAGTCGAAAGGTGGTCGAAAATTGAAACCAAGTCAGTGAACATTGTTAATAAGTAGTAACTAGCCTAATTGAATATTTCCATCTATTTGTTCCCTTTTGTGTTAAATGATCACGAAAATGTTGATTTTGTTACCAATCGACCGAAGAAAATTCCTATTTGAAAATAACTTTTTTAGTATATTACACTCTTTCTATATGACGACTTGTGGCACTCATTCTAGTTGTCACAATAATCGTCTTATGAAATACGTGTAATAATGTACTATTATATTTTCTATTTTTGGTTTCCCAATTTGAATTTTTATAAACAAAACATCGCCTTTAACTTCTCTATTGTAGAGAGCTACTTTAACCGATTCGTTACGTCGGTAAGCTCCCAAGATGTTCGTTAAAGCGACAATCCGATAAACAAAAATAATTAATGGCTTAGCTTAAAAAAGAATAACAAAACGTTGCTTTTATGTTTCTGAAACGTATTGGTTAATATGTTCCCCAAAAACGACAGGTCCATATTATATGTTAAGTGTGTATCATTTCAAATTCTGAACTTCGTTTTTCGACATATTTTACAAACAAGCTAAATTTACATCTTCTGATACCTTTTTACTTTCTTTTCTCCTTCACAATCTTGTAAAATAATCACCTTATCCCTCCTCGGATTTCACATTTCACACGACCGCATTTGCAGGTTCCTGGAAATGCCGTCCTCGTTAGAATAAAAATTTATAATTATCAAAACAGCACAAAGCGAGTACGCAAACATGAGATATTACCATAATTGAATTTCTTTCTGTAAATTAGGTTTGTTTATGTGTTCATGTTGATGTAGTATTGACACATATCCTCTATTTTTTTGGAAACGCGACAAATTGGCAAAAATTATTTGTATAAATACATCAAAGCCTAAAAATATGTATTTGTGTACGAAGGTTACAATTTTGTTTTTTTGTTTTTGCGTGGGTTTTTATTATCACATGAACGCAGCTCAGGAACCAAAGATCCTGATTTATACCGACGACTATCGACGCTACGCACGTTTTATTAAATTATGCCCAATTTTTCTATATTAAATTTGTTCCATGCATTTTAATCAACAATTTCAATAACTGAACGCCAGTGAATGGATTTTATCGGCTGGATGCCCATCTATAGCCGGTCATTTTACGCCATTTTTGCTCGAGTAAAATTTATCAGCAGTTTCTATTTGACATTACATTGCTTCACAATTTAATTTCAATAACCTGTTGCGAATCTTTACCTATCATCATTTGAGATTAAATCCCACACGTTGCAAATAATGCCGAATTCAATTCCTGTTTTTTTAGCCAGCAACCAACCAATTGGAAAATAATATCGTCGATTATTGTGGCAAATGTGCAAAAAACTAACAAATCAAAATGAACGGAAACCGGATGCTTAATTAATTAATACATTAAATTGTTTCATTATTTGTTTATATTTATTTAGATATTCTTCATCATCAGTTTAAAAAAATGCATTACAAAAGCACAAAAAAATAGGGAATTAACGTGGGAATTGGTTTTTATTTTATAATATCTCCCCAGATCACTTTAAAGTTATTATTGAGTGATTCCTTTGTGGAGGTCGAAGGGGGCTATCGGCCAGTATTTTTTTCAAATCGTTGCATCGCGCTCATTCACTATAAAAAGATTTTAAAAATCGTATTTTGAAATTCGCGCCGGAGCCAATTTCCCGCGAAATGTTCCGTCGCACTGTCGAAGTTCGGCGATCGCGTCTTTGGATTAATCAGGCAAAATCCAAATGTCAAAGTGAAATTAGAAATTATTCTCAGCAATCAACGAACAACTCAAACTAAATTATTTTATCCAGTGTGATGATTATTGTAGGAGAAAATAAACGTAATAAATGCACAAATTGATCCATTCATTCGTCATACTGTGTGCGACCCCGTCAAACGAGCCATCTCGAACTACACTCAGGCCGTATCCAAAAAGCCCGAGATGAAGACTTCGAGCAGCTGGTCTTCCTCAAAACCCCATCGGCAGCATTGTGACATGTCCTGGGAGCCCGTCAAGCTAGGAATGTACTTGCGCTGTCTCAGTCAGTAATCACTGAACGACTCAAATTGAATTATTTTATCCAATATAACAATTATTGTAGGTCAATTTAAACGGAATAAATGCACAAAATATTTTATTAGGTTTCTCGGGTTTTTTGGATACGGCCTGTAGTTCGAGATGGCTCGTTTGACGATGCCACGGCAATATGTAATGCCTTACAAATTGCCATGACATACATATTAAGTTAATCTCAGAGTAATTTTGTTAAAAATTGCTCATATTTAATTTGAATAATTTGGCATCAACTAGCTTACGTATTTATGTTTCAAAGAATAGGAAAAATAATGAATTCTTCTATTACGTTAAATGACAGCATTGGCACGTTTTCCTACATGACCGTAGAATACATAAACGGTCCTATGAAAATTATCTAAGAATAATTTCTATGTTGAGCTTTCTAACCGTGTCTTTTCACGGTATAAAATAAACGGCAGCTAATATTTCTCTTTTGATGTTCATTTACTCCAAGCGTACAGCGTTAATTGTGTAATTTAATCAGTAGATACAACATACAAAGACGTAACATATACAAATGACTGCGGCTGAAGAGGAGTTATTGTTATAAAAATGTTTTAGAATTTTGATTAAACGTATTTTCCTAGAATTTGAATAATAATTGACACCTAGAATAATATTTACATTTTTTTGTTACAGGTGTTATAAGTGTTCGCAGTGATGAACTATAGTGACTATTATGAAAACATGAAGGACATACCAGGTGCCAGTGAGACCGTGCAAGACCACAGGAACTTACATGCGTGGTCTAATGCTACACAGGACAAACTGCCCATAAATATGCGTTTCAATGAAGGGCATCAGTTATCCATCATTGTGTACAGTATTTTGATGGTATTTTCAGCCATCGCAAACACGACAGTGTTAGTGTTGATAGTGAAAAGACGTAGAAAGACTCCATCTAGGATAAACACGATGTTAATGCATCTCGCTATTGCAGATTTACTGGTGAGTACGAAAGAAATCTTAAATTCTGCATAAAGTCGCTTAAAATAATGCAAAATACATATCCATCCTACGAAAGTGGACGGCTTGGAGGACATACGTTTACACATCTACTCTATACAGAATGTCCTAACGTTCTGGCTGCAGAAGATTGATTCTGGACTACTGATTTTTTCCGACACTGTAAATGCATTATTTTCAAACACAGGGTTGTTCACGAGATGCTGCATCCTTAAAAAATAATCATCAATAGATTTAATCAATAAGTAAATTGACTCATTCGTCTTTTGTTTGGGTCACCCTGTATGAACACTTCTAAAAAAATATGAATACTACGACAATTCACAAGTATAAAGTATTTTGCACATTTTTGTTAGGATCTATTCGGCAAAATTTTGAGACGACGTCCTAAATTTTTTGGAAGGGATAAACAGATATATTTTGATTAAAAGTTTACACAAATTTAAAGAGTCTGCTAGATTTCAGAGCATTCGACTTAGCGGTTTCTGATTTAATCAATGAAATAAATTGACTCATTCATTAATTTTTTTGACTCACCCTTTATGAGCAATTCTAAAAAAAATTTGAATGAAATAATAAACCACAAGCATAAATAGACTCATCATATTTTGCACATTAAATGTATAATTTATTTGACAAAATTTTGAGATGACGTTATCAGTTTTTAGAGGGATTGTAAACTGATCAATTTTGGTTAATGATTTACCATGTTTTTGTTGACCTTAATACATTTGCAAGGTAAAAACTCAACACGGATTCATAAACTACAAGTGGAGGAGTATGTATTTGTATAAAATAAGCGGTCCAGAGCCAGAAAAGGGAGACCTATGTTTTCGTACTCTAGAGGTCATGAAATGTCGAAAAAACAAAAAAAATTATGTGAGATGAAATAACTAAAGAAATTGTTATATACTACTATCTAAATTTTACTGCTCCAATTAATTTAATTACCACAAAAAAAGTTTAATACAACGCATATGAATTAGTAACGGCTCGGTTAGTTAAAAAACCGCTGAAATAATTAGTTCCAATGTTTTTGCAACTTTTCCGCCGGGTCTTAGACAAGTACTCCCCGAAACTACTAGACGGATGTTTTTGAAACTTTGTACGAATGTTAGGAATATCGTGTAGGTGGTAAAGCCCTAACCCAAATTTTTTTGACCATCTCATTGTTCCACAAAAATTTAAAATGGCAAATGTTATTTAAATTTTATAAAATAACGTGTTGAGTTCTTTACCTAGACGTTAGAAGGAAAATCAAAATTGAAAAAGATTTTGCAATTTAATTTTCCATAAATCCGAATGCTCTGAAATATTGCAAATATTTTAAGGTTACGGTAAGCGTGGTAAATAGTTAAGCCAAATTTATTCGTTTATCTTTGTCAAAAAATTTTGCTGAAAAATTCGTGTCTAAAACATGCAAAATACTGTGACTCTATACATTAATGAGGTAGTTTATTTTATTTACCAAATCAAGAACGGATCACTCTATTTTCCCGAGCGTAAAAACTCAACACGGATTTATAAACCGCAGGTGCAGCAACAACTTGTTTTATAAAATTTAAAAAGATTATCTATATAAATTTTGAAGATGTCATTCTGTTGTTGGTGGGGATGATTAACCAAATGTCGGTTAGCGTTTTACCATAAACGCGATATTTCTAACATATGTATGAAATTTGCCAACAATCGGTCGGGTAGTTTCGGAGATTATCTGTCTAATATAAATCGACACAGACAGACAGACAGACGGAAATGGGAACGTATTTTGTGTTAGTCTATAGGTCATGAAACATTGAGAAAACATGAAAGTAGCCAGTCGCCCGATGAACTCAAATACACTATTTTCTTTCCTTATACTCGGGAAGTAAACATTCATGATGAAGGATCTACATAAATATACTAGCACCCACACGTGGTTTTGCTCCTGTATTTTTGACAGTTTAGACATATAAATATCATAGTACAAACACGTTTTCTTACTGCTCATCTAGGCTATAGAACAAATCTAGGTAGTGTCCAAATTTCGTGTTTCTAACTTATTCAATTTTTTTTCTCATTCTTCTAATATGTCGATATGTTTCTTAACAAAGTAAAAAAATGGCAGCAACTATCAACTTTAAAGATAGAAAATACTTCGCAAGCAAAAACGGAAAAAAACAAAAAATAGAATAAGACGCGGTATCAAATTATAAGGTGTTGTATTTGAAAAAACTGCAATAACAACATTTGAAAACTCGAATATTTAAAGATGTTTTTATAAACACTCTGTATGCAAAAATTTCATTTCTGTGTTCAAAATATTGTAACACAGATGGTAAAAAAAAATGGTTGAAAGTTATTTAGACAGGACTTTCCCCACCAGTACAGTGCCACAAGTCCCACTTCTTTGAAAAATTAAATAAATTGACTCAGTCATTAATTTTTTGAGACACCCTGTATAAACAAATCAAAAAAATATTAAGGCAGTCACAAATCACAAGTATAGACTCATCATACTTTGCACATTTAAAATAGAATTTATTCAGCAACATTTTGAGGTGACGTTATCAATTTTTAGGTGGGATGAACAAATACATTTTGAACAAAAATTTACAATGCTTATGATAACTTTAAAACATCTCCAAGATTTCAAGGCATTCGGTTTTGTAGTTCCTGATTAAATCAATAAAATAAATTCACGCATTCATTAATTTTTTTGAGTCATCCTGTATATGCAAATCCAAAAAATATGAATGGAATGATAAATCACAAGTACAGACTGATCATATTTTGTACATTTTAGATAGGATTTATTCGGCAAACTTTTGAACTGACGTCATCAATTTTTTGGAGGGGATAAGTAGATATATTTTGATTAAAAATTCATCATGATTATCAGAACTGTAAACCATCTGCAAGATTTCAAAGCATTCGGTTGTGCAGATTCCAAATTAAAATCCAAGATGTTGTTTCAAAATTTTGATTTTTGTCAAAAATCTGGACGTTTCTGGTAAAAACTCAATTTGGAGTCATAAACTACATGTGTAGGACTATGTTATTTTATACGATTTAAAACCCAGTTACTATGTGCAATTTTGAAGTGACGTCATCACATTATTGGTGGGGACGATTAGGCAAATTTTAGTTATAGCGTTTTACCATCAACATGATATTCCTAATATAAATACAAAATTTTACAACAATCGGCGTAGTATTTTCGAAGAATATCTGTGTAATAAAAATCCGGGACGGCAAACAGACGGACAGACAGACAGACAGACAGACAGACAGACGGAAACGGGAGACCTACCTTTTCGTACTTTAAGGATCATGAAAATTCGAGAAAACATAAAAGAAGTAATAAACGGCAGTTTTAAAGCCAGACAAGAGGCTACTGAAAATATGTAAAAATATATAGGATATGTCTTTAAAAAAAACAAAGTTGTATGTTACGCTTTAAAAACAAAACATTGTGTATAGTTAAAAATAATTTGAAAATATAGTCCCTAAAAAACGTTCAGTTTTGCCCTTTGATTTTTTCTTCTATTTCTAATGATAATTAATGAGATATCGAGGAACGGTAACTACGTTGATGAGTCATTCAATCAGGAGTTCTGTCTTTTCTGTGTTCTACAAGACTATGGGGCCCCTAATGAACAGCGAAATAAAAATATTTAAAAATACGAGTATAATGAGTAAAGTATGAGTACATTGCAATTAGGGCTTACGTTTTATTAAAATAATTCTACCTGAAACACTTAATTAAAAAAACAAAATACAATAATTACCTGAATACATAAAATTAAAATATATACAATTACACATATTAGAAACTAGGCGACCCGGCAAACGTTGTTTTGGCATTTCTAGTGAAAATTTTGGTAGTTAAATCAAAAATTAAATTAAAATAAATACATATAAATATAATTCAATTAAATTATAAATTATACATAAAAATTTATCGTACGACAATGATTATATTCAATAGCCATTTTGCAACCCTATTGCGCATCTGTGGATGAAAGCAAAGATACTCATATCGTTATTAAAAAATGGGGGTTGGTGGTAGGAGGGTGAAAATTTAGGGTTATATGTATTTATTGATGCCAAATCTTAAAAAAATAAAAATAAAAAATGTTGTCTAAAAAATAAAAAAAAAAAATTTGGTGGGCCACCCTTATCAGTTAGGGGTATAAAAAATAGTTTACTAGACCTACCGAATATATACAAAAAATTTCATAAAAATCGGTCAAGCCGTTTCGGACGAGTTTGGTTACAAACATTGTGACACAAGAATTTTATCTTAGATTATTTTAGAACAAATTTCATTACCATAAAAAAGGTTATACCGAGTCGACCTTAAAAGGTAGACATATGCTGTCGCGGACTTTTTTTTAGAACTTTTAGAACGGAACAATTCCATCATACATGGTTTTTATGTAACTTTAACCGTTTAAGCAGCGTAAGCAACGTAAGCTGTCAAAGGAGGAATCATTTTCCTGTTTTTCGGATATTTTTCATTGCTGCTCCGCTCCTATTGATCGTAGCGTGATATATAGTCTATAACCTTCTTCGATAAATGGACTATCCAACACAAAAAGAGTTTTTGAATTCGAACAGTAGTTTCTGAGATTAGCGCGTTCAACCAAACAGACTCTTCAGCTTTATAATATAAGTAAGTATAGAAGTATAGAAGTATAGATAAAAATGCCCATTTTTTTAATCTCAAAATTGTTTTCTTCTTGCTTTCCAATGGGCACAAATTGATACAAAATTTGACACATCTAAACTTCTAGCAATTTGATTTCCAATTGAGAGATTCAGTGAAGATATTCTGCATTGGCCCATTGTGTTTCTTAAAAAATGTTTAGTCATTTTTAATTTCGAAAAAGATCTTTCCGCTGAAGATATTGTAAGAAAAGTGAAACATGCTGTGATAATTTCAATGAAACTAGTGCAGGTAGGTCATTCTCTAATAATTTCCCAGTCCTGTTTTTTTT